CCTCGACTTATCTCATCGAGATATGGACGTGCTTGAGCTCTGTCGGGCGGAACGAGTGCGCGTCCGTGGAGGAAACTTTTTCCTTCACGCGCTTCAGCACGTTTAAGTATGTTTTCTTTGGGAGCGTTGAAGGCTGATTGTTCCTCTTCGTCCGAGCTTAACCGTTTCTTCTTTCCATGTTCAGCTTCACCATCGGCACGAACGGCGTTTGGACGGGCACCTGGGGTTCCACGAGCCCCGGGCCGTCGGCCGTCCCGTTCACTCTGGCCGCCAGCACCACGATCGCGTCCAGCACCCCCATCATTATTACAGCCACCGACAACGACGCACCCGTCATCACCCCAACCACGACCTCCGCCACCTCTCCCTCATCCGCCGCCGACGCGAACGCATCCGCTTCCTCATCCACACCTGCATCCTCGACAATCCTCATCATCGTCGCCGTGTGCGCCGTCATCGTCCTCGCCGTCGTCGTGGGCCTCACCCTCCTCTACCGCCGCCGCGCAAATAAGTCCGGCCACGCGCCGACGTCATCCGATGCGCCGGGCTTATACCGGCCTTTCAGCGTCACATCTCCTTCCACCGGCCCGACGACGTTCTACCTGCCTCCGCAGAGCACATCGATGCAGCCGTTGTCGTCACAAGACGGCTGCGGACAGGACTTGAGATACCTTCCGTCCATGCGGCAGCCGGATTTCTCCACAAATCCGCATCCACATCAGCAGGGGCAGTCGCAGCAGTACGTCGGCGTCGACCAAACGATGCAGTCGAGCATGGCGTCGTACGATCCGCTTGGGCATTCCCTCGCCGATCACGGTCAGCTGCGTACGGAGCCGGCGCCGACGTCAAGCATGATGTCGCACGCGTCGGAAGGTGTGCAGTATTTAGGTAGCGCACGCGGGTCCATGGGGCCTATGGGGACAGTGGTGCCTGTGACGAGGTCGCCTGAGAAGAGGGGTCTGTGGGATCCTCCGGCGCAGCAGGAAGGGCCGACGCTGCCAGTGTACAGCGCAGGGCCGCAGTGACCTTCGGCGTCAGTGGCCGAGGGATATCTGGAACCGTTTGCAAGCCACCGCGAAATTGTGAAACACTTACACTATCAAATCAATATCTCACTACAAGGAAGGAACTTAAGATAAACGCATCCGCATAATGCAGTTCTCGAACCGAATCTACATGGTTGGCAGTTTGGCAGTTACTACAAAAACATATACAGTGGAGCCACAGGTGCAGACACCAACCGTCAAAACCACGATTCCTTCCCATCACTGATCAAAGATCAGCCATGGTCGTCTCCACCGTCAACGCCAGCACCCCCTGGTCCGTGACCCTGAAGCCCGGCGTCCGGGACGCGAGCATGCTGGTCGCCAACATCGACCTCCCCACCAGCGCCATCCCCTCATCCACGCAGGCCTACTACCAGTACGTGCTCACGGACCTGCTCTCGACCTCCGGCTCCGCCGTCCGCGCGACGCTCTGCGCCTTCGGCTCGTCGGACGGGACCGTCGTCGGCTGCTCGCAGCCGGACCTGCTTGGGAGCACCTGCATCCACCAGCAGTGCGCATTCCCCGTTCCCAGGTCGGGCTCATTCCCGGCCTCGACGTATGAGATCGGGATTTGGGTCTGCCTGAGCACGGTCGGGCCGAGCGATTGCGCGTCCGTGGAGGAGACGTTCCCGTTCACGGAGTTGAGCACGTTAAAGTACGTTTCTTTTTTCTTTGCAACGCGTGCGCCGTTCTGGTTGTGTGATCTGATGGACTGACTGACACATGTTTTTCTTTCCTTTTAAAGCTTTACCATCAGCAACAACGGCGTATGGACGGGGAGTTGGGGATCCACGACCCCTGGGCCCTCGGCCGCAGCTTTCACGGAGATCACCGGCAACCAACCGGGCTCCAGCCCAACAGCCTCGCGCGTCTCCACCGCCGCCCCCTCGACTTCGTCGGCCGCCAACACCTCCTCCTCTTCCTCTTCCTCGTCCAACACCAAAATCATCATCGCCATAGCAGCCGCCGCCGGCGCCGTCATCATAGCCATCATCGCCGCCGTCGTCTTCTGCTACCGTCGCTCCCGCAAGTCGAAGTACGCCCCCACGGCCTCCGATGCCCCTTTGGTCTTCCAAAAGCCCTACGGCGGCGGCGGCGGGGATATGGCCCGATCCACGACGACGACGACCTTCTTCGCCCCGCCGGAGGGATCCTCCATGATGGCCATGTCGCCGCAATCCCACCCGGCCGGGCTGCAGCACCTGCCCTCCATGCGGCAGCCGGACTTCTCGACGCCGCCGACGCCGCATGAGCATCATCATCATCATCAGGAGCAGCAGTATGTGGGCGGCGGCGGCGGCGGCGGGGGTGCGTCGAGCAGCATGATGTCGTACACTTCTAACGTGATGTCGCCCGTGGTCGGCGGGGGATCGATGGGACCGCCGACCTTTGCGCCGGTGGTGCAAGGCGGAACCGCGGCGGCGGGTTCGGCGTCGGGGGCGTCGGAGAAGCAGGGCCTGTGGAATCGGGCGCCGGGGGCGTCGGAGAAGCAGGGCCTGTGGAATCCGGCGCCGGCTGTGGAGGAGGGGCCGAGCTTGCCGGCTTATGACGCGGGGACTCGGTGATTGCGGGTTTTTGGGTTGTTGGAAGCCATTGTTTGCCGGATTGGACATGTACTTCCTTTCCTTTCATGTCTTCAGGTAGTTTCCTTGTGGTTGGCCGAACCCCTATCTTTTTTTTTTATATCATTGTATCTTCATTAGCTCTAGCCAGTTCCGCGCATTCAATTCGATAGCGAGCAATACACTCGAGTATTATTAACCTGCTGGTTTGCAACTGACAATGGAACGAGCCTTGTGAATGTCAGGGTGAAGGATATGACTGGCGTGCCCTCCAGCGGTTGCACCCGATCGGCCTAGCTGACAAGATTCTTGGACGCGCCATGACAAAGAGGTACATAACTGGAGCGTATTCATTCTCACTCCCAACCCTCACTCCCCAATACCCATCCTCTCGGCCGTCCTCCCTTACGCCATTTTTCCGCGTTCTCAGGGGCGGCTTTCTCGACTGCTACCCCGGCGACGAGTTCTACTTTTCGGCGAACGCCAAACGCAAACGTCGCGCTCGCGAGCATCCCCGCCGCGAGCTTGCGATTGCCGTTTGGGCCGAGGAGGGCGCGAAGGCTCACCCGGGACTTTCCATAGGTACCCCAAGATCACCACATACAATAATAATACGCAGGTCAGTGAAAAGTTTTAATTAATGTTAAATAAAATGCAGTGCGGCAATATGGAAGTATGAAGTTGATGCAAAGGATAATATGAAGTGTGCCTCTAAAATATCGCGGCTGAACCGAAAACGAGGGTCGCCAGCGTCAGTCCAAGAAATCCAACACGCGACGTGGCGGAACCATTCGCAATGAGGTTCGTGGTGTAAGCCGGGTGCGTGGTGAAGACCGTCGCGGTCACGGAGGAGGTCGCGGTCGAGCGCGTGAAGACTTTGGCGGTATACGTGATGATGGAGGTTCCGGTGGGCGTCTTGGTGGCCGTGTCGGTGGCGGTCGACGCCGTGCTGTCGTGGGTGCTGGAAGGGGTCTCTGTCGACTTGGGCGGCGGCGGCGGGGAGTCGGTCTGCGTCGTTTTGCGGGAAGCCGCTGTCGCTGTCGAGGTGACATTCCGGCCTGACGACTTGTCTTCAAACGTGAATCCATCGTTGTATGAACCTCCAATGACGGCGTCGCACCCGTCGCGGTCTCGGTGCATGTTGCAAGGCGATGCCTCGTCCTCCCCGCTAGTCGCGCAAGTCCGCATGCAGTACACCCCGTTGCCGACGAGCTCGACGTAGTTCGCGAATCCCTGGAGAGACGCGTCCGCGCCCGAACGGGGCTCGGATCCGTGGCTGGCGTTGTCGTACTGCCCGCCACCGTCGGCCGTGTTGATCCCCAGAAGCGACTCGTCGATCTTGCCGGTGACTTGCATGTACGCGTCGGTCTTGATAACGTGGGCCGAAAGGATGGCGCCGGACGCGATGGATTTGGAGCCGGAGGTCGAAAGGTCGCCGAGGCAGAAGGACTGGCCGGAGCCCTCAGACTCGCCGATGCTGATGCCCGGGCTGGCTGGCAGCAGGAGACAGAAGGCGTTTTGGTCAACGATGCCGACGATCTTGCCGGGTGAGGCCGCTAGGACGGTGGTCGATGAGAGGGCCGCGAGGGCGATGATGGAGCGGAAGGAGAGCATGTTGAACGGAGAGAACTTGGAGCTTGAGAGGATAACTTAAACAGATGCAAGAAGATCACGACGCCCTCCAGCGTTTATATAGATGTTTTCATGCTCTGTGCGAATTTTCCTTTGCGTTATTTCAGCAGAGTTTTCTGCAAGTAACTGAGGCGATGGAGAAATAGTGGCTGTGGGTTAGTGAAGCCTGTCTGTCAATTTTACAATCGTTCGTACTTCGCAACTTAACACTTCCACTCATCAGCACAAGCCGAAGGTAAGGCGAGGCTAAGGCGAGGCTGCTCGTTAACGGCGTTGCAACCTACGCATCGGCGCATGCAACCTAATCCCCAACAGCCATTACCTGACCGCGTCTCGCAGCGAGAATGAACTGTCGGTCGACTTCAGGCCAACAGAAGGAACGCGAGCGACGTTCCTTGCCGCGAGTCAAGCATGCAGCTCTACTAAAATAACAACGCGTTGCTTGTCAGAGAAGGCAGAGGTCTTTCCTCCCCGCTGTACAACAGCCAGCTCGGCTCCCAACTCGCCCGTAGGCCGCCAATATTGAGCAGCAGTCGAGTTGCTCGGGGTCGTCTCCCTATCCTCAACACGGCCGACCCTCGCTCATAACATTCCAGTCGAAAATGGATCGTTGTTGGACCTTGATTTGAACTTATATCCTGTGCTTTCAGATTATTTGCGCTTGACAATCGCGCATTCTCTAACTGCTTTATATTCTTTCTTTAGCTTACATCTGTGTCAGCATGGTCAAGAGTCCTAATTTGTCGACCCCCATCAACAAGCCGCTTTAGCTCATCTGGGAGAGCGTAGCACTGAAGATGAAAGATCTGTTATGCTAAGGTACTGTGTTCGATCCACAGAAGCGGCAAGCTAAATGCCAACGTTGATAAGCAGAGGGCCGTTGAAGTCAGCCACTTTTTGCTTTTTTTTTTCGACCAGAATCGTTAAGGATGCTGTTTTTTTTCGACCAGAATCGTTAAGGATGCTGCCGACAGGACAAGCTTTTTTCTGACCGAAGGTTCCCCGGGAGCCAACACCTCACCCTGCGAACAGCCTTCCTCGAACGCCTGGAAGGCCACACTTTATGCTGGTGGCAGGAACCGCCACAAGGAGACGGGCAACATGATGAAACGCGTTCGAGTGTAGGATGCCCAGGTTGAGCGATGCAGCCATCCTGAAAGTCGGGACATAGGCATCCGTACTCTTTAGCTTAGAGCTACCAGTATTCCCGTCGACCCGAACCGCATCCTGCGACAGGCGATGCTGGCCAGAAGGGAAAAGAAACACTGGTGGCCGCGGCGTCTCAGAGTCCGCATTTTATGTCTCTCCTCGTCATTACGTATCAGATATGCGTTGACTATTTTCTTCGTTGAAAGAAACGAAGAGCTCATTTCCGTTCTGTATAAAGTTGGTCCATTAGAAGATCCAGATCTATATCACCCATGGTGGGGACCGTGGAGGAGGAGGTACAAAAGCCATACGAGAGGGTCCAGCGTTTTGCAGTCACACCATCGCGATGCGCACCCCGCAGGTCCAGGCCGTCGCCGCGGCCGTTGTCGTCGCCGGCGGCATGTCCGCCATGGCGATCGTCAGTGAGTTCCTTGAACTCAGTCGACCCTGATCTAATGGTTGAACCTCCCAGACCCCCCTACCATCCCCTCGCCCGCCATCTCCTCGGCCTGCGGGGGACTCTTCAGCAACTCGACCTCCTACAAAGGCTCGGAGGTCCTGGCTTGCTTCAACGCGTTCCCGATCACGTCAAAGAACATATCCGAGTAAGTTGGAGCGAGTCCGTTCTTTCAGATCAATCTTTCCTAAACTCTGTAAACTATTTCTTCAACAGTTTCGTGAGCGCGTTGAAATACTACTTGCCCTTCGCCGCAAACGTGGATCTTCTGAAGTCGAACAAGGGGGTTGACCTGGGTGGCCTCTTGGACGGCGTCGCCGCCGACGGGAGCGTTACGAACGAGTTCCAGATGCACGGGAAGATTGTTTCGGCGCTCACAACAAACCTCCCATGGAATGCGGGGTATGCTTTAACCTACTGCTGGGACTTATCAGCGGCAGTACTTCGTTTTAAACTTGCCTGTACTCAATTCTCTTCATTTTAAGATATGGCTACTCGGCTGGGTGCTTCTCGAGTTGGGTCTTTTTGCAGCCTTGGACGACGGATTTGATCCTTCAGTCGACAGGCCCGGCCTTTTACCTGGGCAGACCCTACGCCGACATCAAGATCGAGGAGGGTTATCACGCGGCTGCATTCGCGGCTGCGACGACCGCCTTCGCCTCTACCCTCAATGGCAACCCTGCTAAGTACGTGGGCTATCAGATTACAAGCATCAACGGACAGGATCCGGCGGTGAGCTCCCATATTGCTTTTAGCACAAAGTCTTCACATTAAACTTTGGCGACTTAAACAGGTGCATCTCATCAAACTTAGCAAACGATCTGGCTACTTTGATTCATTGAACGTAATGAGCACCAGATACTATCGCCACGACGACGCCGACGCGATAGATGGGGAGCGCTCATTAGGCCCTTTCGTCGGACTCCTCACAGCGGCCTCCCAAGTGTACGACAGCTTCTACCAAAGCGACGTCACCTACACGCTGAAGGGGCCGTCTGGGGACACCGTTTCCGTGACGGTGCCCTGGCAGGCTATCTTCGTGGCACACGCCGACTTTGGCCACCCGATGAACATCAACGACTACTACGAATTCTACTGCGTCGCCGCGGACTATTGGACGGCCCTGCGCCGTCGCAACAGGAAGCAGATGGCGGTTCGCGCAATGCCCAACCAGCCGGCGCCGAAATTCGTCGGTCGGCGCGATTCCACATCCCTTCAACCCTTGTTCTCCGATAACCATAGCAGCGCCTTCTACATGGTCACACCGGAAGTGGGCGTCTGGGCACCTAAGATCTACATTACCGACTACGACGTGGCCGCCTGGCCCAATAACTTCGCATCGTTCGACCACGGGGTGCGCGCCCTCAGCACCGCGGGGGCCAAGACACTTGTCCTCGACCTCTCCGATGTCGCCTCGGCATGGGTTCCCTGCGCGGGTTCTCTCCTCGCGAAGTACTTCTTCGGCGCGGCTGCCCTTCAGTTCGAATATGATTTCGCCGTCCCGTACCCGAAGTACCTTCACAACACCCAAGTGCGGGGCCGCGGAGGGTACGGCGAGATGCTTCTAGGCATCGTTAGCACCAGCAACACTAGCAGTTTCGGCACGCTTGGCTACAACCCCGTGCGAAGCTCGGCCAGCGTATCGACACCCGTCACGGTCCGCGGCACGCAGCGCTCCCCCCGCTTCACCGTCGCGTGCGACATACACGTCAACGGCACCTTCCAGACCTCCCCCTTCGCGGTATCCTCGCTCATTATCCTGTCCAACGGCATCTGCTTCGGCGCCTGCGCCGAGTTCGTCTACCAAGCGCAGCAGCAGAAGGTCCAGACGTTCGTCTTTGGAACCGCGAAATCGGGCGGGCTCGCGACCTATGCGCCCGCGACCTTCACGGCGCCAATCGAGGAGGTTGCGCAGAACTACCGGATGGAGATGGTAGATATGGACGGAACCGATGGCCACCCGGCCGACGATCAGCCGTTCGTGACCTACAGTGCTTACCTCGACTTCCCCTCCATCAGCGTGTACTTGCCTGGGACGCCAGAGGGGGACGCTGGGATGCCGGTGGACATGTTGCAGGCGCCCATCGCGGATGCGGGGGTTTACTTGCCCGTCAAAAATGTGACGGACACATTTGGCATCTGGACGGCCCTCGCGGGTCAGATGGGGGGCACGCCCGCGACGTTCGCGGACGGTGCGACGACACCCTCCGCGGGGGCGGCGGGCGGGTTCGCTGTCGACTCTGGGTCCTCCTCAAAGCCACAGCTAGCGGTTATCATTGGTGTTGGTGCGTATCCTTTGTACACATCTTCTTGTCCCGCGTGACTGAGTCAGGGTTCAAACTATAATGGTAGCTTGCGGCGCCGCCGTCCTGATTATCATCGCCGGTATCGTCGCCTTCCTCATCTTCCGTCGCAACCGGGCAAAGAAGGCCACCGCCACGGCGACCCCGGGCAATGCGTCCACCACCCCGAATATACCTTACGGCGTTCCGCAGCAGCAGCCCTTCGCGCCACCTCCGCAAAACATGGCCTACGCCTATCAGGCACAGAACCTAAACGGTCAGAACGGTTACGGCCAGCAGCCGATGCCGTATCTGTCTGCCCAGCCACCGGCCTCAGTTGACTTCCAGCCCCAGTACGTGGCCGAGCAGCCAGCTCAAGGCCAGGATGTCTCGTCCGACCTCCTTGCGTCTAACGGCCAGCATCAGCCCGGGTTTGGAGCCTATGACGAGCCGAAAGTGCCGGGTCGCCCAGTGGCCGAGCAGCCAAAACACGGTGCAGATGTCTCTTCCGACCTCCAGGCGTCGAACGGCCAGCATCAACTCAAAGCGCCAGCTCGTACGGTGTCATATGCCGGGGTGGGTCCCCGGTAGACAGCGGATTTGACCTCGACCTTTGCATTTATGGAGCGTCACCTTTCTGCGGACTCTTTTGTGCACTTCTGCTGTCTATGGCTTGAGGCACATGCTCTTAGCTATCTATACCGTTTACTATGTCATTTTTTTTGGAGACGACCTGCACCCCCTTGCCATTTAAACTCTTATTTGAGCGCACTTCTCGTTCGGCGGCCTTGGCTTACACCCATTTTCTGAAATGCCGGTGATTCTATGCTTCCGTAAATATATCATTATAACCTCTCTGGTCAAACACTGCGTTTCCGTTGAATAGATTTGCCCCTTACGCCTGCGCCTGTCATTCCGCGTGCCCGCTAACTGTATATACTGCTGCTTCCTTGCATCCACCCCGTTGAACGTCGACATCCTTGTGGCAGCGAGCGGTTTTGAAGGCCACATCGTCGTGGAGGGACGATGGCGCCTCGTCCGTCGCGATGGGGACGGCCTTCTGTGCGCGGTTGCGGCGGACACGATAACTGGCCTCGATCAACCATAGGACGACCTTGCCGCAAGTTTCGTGAATAATAATATTGTTTTCTCTTTAAAACGCTGAGAAGCAACGCGCTAACACCTGCTGAAAGGCTAAACTTGCTTTCGAGGGCCCCGTCGGCGATCAGGCCTCGGCAGGCGTCGTACCAATATCCGCGCAAACGTCGCTGATGTCCCCGTCGATCTGCCCCGGGATAATGTCCGTCCCGGTTCCGCACCCACGGAGAGGAGGTCGATCGAGGAGGAGGAGGGACTTTATGAGGGCTCGAGGCCAGCGTGTCGCAGGTAACGGTGAAGCGGGACAAACGAGGGGAGCCGCGGACAATATTAGCGGGACGGTGGGTGACCCGTCAGGCAAACGACCTGACTGCAGAGGGTGGGGCCAATGCGCACCTCGGTTGCCCTCGTCTCCCTCGCGGCGGCCGTCGCCGTCCATTCGACCGATGCCCGTGAGTGCTCGATCCTCGCTTTTTCTTCGGCCGCTTGCTGACCTCGCGTGAAATAGAGACCGTAACGAGCCAACAGGTTGCCGCACGTTCCGGCCCTACCAACAAGAGGTCGGCGCACGCTGCCTCGGATTTGCTGGCCTGCTTCAAACCTTCGCGATAACTCAGGATAACCCAGAAGGAGGTCTGGCAGCATGTTAACGCCTTTAAGTATTACTTGTCCCTGGCTACCAATCTTAACCTCGTCACGTCCTTGGGCGGCATTGACCTCTCTGCCAGACTATCAACGGCCATGACGTTGTGGTATGTTTTTTCAATGGACTGCTCCTTTACGTTTGGTCGCTTATCTCATTTCTGCTCCAGCCCTTTTTGATAGCCCTTGGTGGTCGCAATGGTGTCTTGAACTCCAAAG